TGCCCTGCACACGTACACACACAAACCAAGAGTTAAAAAGCTGTTGTGGTGGAGTTGCAAGGAAATGAGACCAGCTGCTTCCACTGAGCATGTAGGGGCAGAGTGAGAAGATTTTCATGCTAAAGTCCCACCCCTAAACCTCAAGGATGCATCTCTTCCTGGCCAGTCACGGAGCCCCGTCACACTTCACAAAATCAGGAATTGCCAGTATCCTACCCAGTCCAAGTTTGATTTTGACAGCTGTCTTGGAAGTGTCTTGCTGCTGGCTCTCTAGGGTCACGCGTTGTCTGGTTTGCCTGTTCCCTCTTCTCACCCAGATGCACCAAGAAGACTTGGCTGATTGTCTGTCAGGGTGTCTTTGGCCTGGGTCTATCTACTGCCTCTTGACATGCTCAGTCCAATCTTTGCCCTGAACTTTCTGTGACCTGGGAGTCATATCCAGAGCCTAGTTTCTGTTTGTGTCAGCGATTTGATGGGACTTCTTGGTGGTGGTGTGATAGGCAGCCTTCCTATCACTGGGAGTTCTGGGTTAGCCATGTGGCAGCAGGTGGCAATAGCCCATCTCTCTGTTGTAAAAGTCAAATCCACCCTATCCAGCGGTCTGGCTTCAGTGTGTGTCTCATTTTGTTCATCTTTGGTTTTGCCCGTGTGTTTATATTCCTTCTTTTTTAATACTATAGGGAGTAAGCTAAGATAATTTTCTCATAATTTGCCTTGTTCAACTAAAAGCAATTCTTCCTACTTCTCCACAGTGAGGGCCCTGGAGGATCTCTGTTGAGAAGCTGCAGCTTAGGCCTAAGGTGCAGGTAGGAGTATCCTCTTTGACTGGGTTGCCCAGATTCAGGAAGTAGCCTGGTGAACCACAGGAAGATGTCACCACATTGAGAAGGTGCTTTCCTGCAGCTCAATAATGAGGAAGGAACTTAGCCAGACTGGAGATCAGGTCGCCCAGTGGACAAAGCTGGCCCTGAGCTGGTCTTGGGCTCAGTGTGGGCTTCTCGTCTCTCCTCTCCTTCCAAAGTACACCATACAGGCAGAAAGAGAAGGACAGAGACCAGCAAGGCTGGAGCCCAGCCTGTTCCATGGAGGCCTGGAAGGACAGGTTTCTGCTGAATGAGGTAAAGAGTGGGGGTGTCCAAGAGAGCGGTGGCCACTGGGGTGGAGGAGAGGAGAGGGTTCTGGCTGAGGTAAGGCTCACCTCTTTAGGGGAAGACCAGTGGGGTCCTGGGTACTCTTGAGCTTCCCTCAAGTCCTACTGGTCTCTATTTCACAGAGATGAAAACAGAAGTTCAGAGAAGTTAGGATATTTGGATATGGTCTCACTGCTGGTCACTGATGGGGACAGGAATTGTTCAGTTGGTGCTCTTCCTACTATCTGGTCTCCTCTAGGTGACATGCATGAGCAGCAGTGTTTGGACCTATGTAGGGTCTTCTGAGGGCCCCGAGGCCTGGCCCCTTGCTCAACATGCCTGTGTGCCCAGCATCACCAGACCAGGCCTGGGACTCTCAGAGTTCAGGGCACTCCCTTTCCTTCCCCAGGTCTGTGTGAGGCTCGTGGACCAGAAAGTCATGCAGGTCAGCCACTACGCAGTGTCACAGCCCCCACGCTCTGCCCTCTGTGGTCAGCATTATGTGATTGGAAGAGGCTGCTTCAGTGCTTTCTAGGAAAATTGCAAGATGTAGCCGTTAAGAGGCAATTTCCTGTTTGTTTGGTTTTTTTTTTTTCCTATCAACTTGACTGCTTCTCTTTCTTTGAAAATTACTGAAATTGGCCCATTGAAGCATCTTTGTTGGGAATCTCTCAGAAAAGGGGATCTTCTGCAGTTCCTTGGTCTTGAATTTTGAGGGAAATACTCAGCACCGGACTGACTGGGATAAAACTGGGCCTGCCATGGTTACAATTTTTGGCCACAGTGAGTGAAGACTTAGAACTCTTCCAGGTGGGGTCAGTAACACAGACAGAGAGAGGCTTTTCTCAGGGTAGGTGAAGGCCTGTGCATGATTCATTTGGTGCTACTTTAGTGGTTAGTATATACTAACCATTCCTGTTCTTCCCTGCAGAGGGTAGCTGGGAGAGGAAGCCCCGCAGCAGCAGGTGGCACGTCCTTCAGGCAGTTGCTTCAGCTCCTCAGAAGGGGCCAGGACCAGGCTCAGGTGGTCAGGGTCCCTTGAGGCCCATCTCACAAGAACATCTGTGTTCTCTGTCATGTGCCTGAGCACAAGGGGCCCTTTGTGGGGCCGAAATGCTTTCACTGAGGCCAAGAGTGTCTCTGCTGGAGTTCTCTCTCTAAGCCAAGACCGCTGTGCACAGCTCATCTGACAGTCGGGGCGGTGACTGTGAATTCTGCCACCTGTGGAACTGAGAGCTGTACATCCATTTTTAAAAACCACAGTGAGCAGGGGGAATACCCTTTTTCTTGAATCTCCACATTGATGTGATGAGTTGTTTCCGTATGTGTATTATTCTTACCGCATCAGTGATGTTGGACGTGAGCATTTGCATTTGAAACCATTCTGGCCTTGCAGGTGTGCCAAACAGCTCAGAGGACAAGGGAGGCCTCTACTGCAGCAGATCTGCTCAGAGCCTAAGCCTTTTGTCCCTGGCCTGGCTGAATCAGTCCCTGTGGCCATGAGGCCAAGGAGCAGCTTTCTCTGCCAGGCCAGTACTCATTTTCCAGAGCATTCTTTTGGGTCTGGGGGTGGTATGCGGTCTTCTCCTTTATTCACTTGTGATTTCCATGTAGCTGTAAACAGAAGATGTCAAATGCTGTATCTGTTTAAACCGAGGGATTTCGGGGCCAAGCCCCAGATTTTTTTATCAGCAGAGAGGCTGGGAATAGGTGGCTGAGTGTGAGTGATTTGCAGAGGGAGCCACATTCTGTGGGCAAGAGTCCTCCAGAACGGTCTGCACAACTGTCTCCCAGGCTTGTCCCCCCAGCCTAGATGGTGGCATCTATGCTGCTTGAGCCCAAGAAAGCCAAAACCTGAGCATTCAGAATTGATTGACATAGGTGAGTTTGGAAATAAAATTGACTGAAAACTATATTGCTTTTTTGGTGCATTGTTAAGAAATTCAGTTATTAAGATGGATTTGAGGACATTTCATTGTCATCTAACTTTATTTCTAAAGAAATACTTTGGAAAATACAATTGGGGGATTGCACTAGCATGAGTTTCTTTTGGTTGTTACTTTTTTTTTGTACTGTAGTTCGAACTCAGGACCTTACACTTGCTAGGCAGGCACTTTACCACTTGAGCCACATCCTCAGCCCTACAAAGTTGACTTGATTTTATTTAGAGAAGTACCTTTGTGTTTTATGTAGGTGCAGTATTTATTTATTCATTCATTCATTCATTTTGGCCTGCCTTTGCCAATTAGCAAAGACACGGACTAACTGGTTGCTGGAGCAAGTGCTCTACTACTTGAGCACACTCCCAGCCCGAGCTCTTTTTTTTCTGGATGACAGTAAATCTCAGCAAGTATACTATACTTCGTGTTCAGACTTGTTCCAAATTAAATCTGTTGATCGTTTGTGTATTTAAAAAACTTCACACAGGTGATGCCACCTCAGTGTGGCAACATCACAGTAGAGAAAAGTTTCCAATCTGTTGCCCGACCCTACCCCATCTAGCCCAACTTTCTGCTGAAAGTATCCTCGTCCTCTGGCTGCCTCACCTGGCCTGTCTGGGTCAGTCACCTCTGTGACTCCATCTGCTCTTAGGACTCTTCTATCTCATTCACCATAACCAGGACCCAGCCTTTGTCAGGAGTCCTTTCACTTTTGGACCTTTTACTTTCTCCCAAAGAGACACATTCTCCAAAGCAGGTTCATATTAGAGCTACAGAAGCATCATTTGGCGAGTGAATCCTGGTAGTTATGAAGGAAGGAAGAAAACTAGCACAGAATTAGAATATTTTAAAGCAACTACCTCTGAGCCATGAACTTGAATTCTCCATCTGTCTCTCCATCCATCCATCCATCCATCCATGCCATTGGTTGATTGATCAGATTGATGTAGCCATCAATCTGATAGATATTTGCCAGCTTGGGGTGAGGCAGGGAGGGAGGGGAAGAGTCTGCCAGAGCCTAGAGGTGGAGCCTATCCCCAGTGCAGGGGGCTGAGCTCTGCACACTGAGTAACCGAGCTGCACAGAAGTCCAGAGGATGCTAAGCCAGGAACCATGTGAAGCAGCAGCTCCATGAGATGGCAGGCCCTACTCTGAGGATTTTAGAGAAGCGCATGCTCTCCATACGTTACATCCAGTTTCTGGAGGCATCCAGATTCCCTGACCCATAAATCCTATGGCTTTGTGAGTCCTGGCATTCCCTGGTGAGAACTGCCTGGTTAGTGGGAATGAAGAGACTCCATCATCTGAAATTTGTTACGTCAACTAGCCATTCACATCTCATTCAGTAACAGCTGTCTTTCCAGGAGCTGCTTACAAGTGTTCAAACTAGCTAAGTACTTATAGCAAAAACATCTGCACCTGTGTACAGTGTTAGAAAACAGAAATGTTCAGGGTCACCACAGAAATGGGTGGACTTCATTTTCCCCAGTCCTTAATACTTCAAGATGGCAAGTGAGGCTCTCAGATGTTGGTTTGTCTCGAGTGGAGCCCAAATGAAGCATGTTCTTTGGTCCAGCCTTCCAGATCTCCACCCTGGATCTCTGAGTTACTCCCTTTCTAGAACAGTAAGATCTGCAGCAAAGACTGAGGTTCTGGTCCTTATGAGGTTTGACTGCGGCTGAGGACTTGCATACCCGAAGGCATCTTCTCTTGATTATCCCTTTGGCTTGTATAGTTATGAAGTCATGTTTGAAGGCCACTTGATTTTAATTTTACAATATCTAGCCAGTTCCTGTCCTCTGCTGGTATCATTGGGCTCTTGCTGGGCCACATGGGCTTGAGATGGAAATGGGATATGGTCTGACCATGGAACTGCTGGCATGAAAGGGACAGCTTGGCTGCATGTGATGACTTTGTTTTCCTCCTACAGCCACCTCCCCTCGGGTGTCCTCTGAACTGGAGCAGGCCCGGCCACAGACGAGTGGAGAAGAGGAGCTGCAGCTGCAACTGGCACTTGCTATGAGCAGAGAAGTGGCCGAGCAGGTTAGTGCCCTGGTGGGTCTGCAGTGACTGTTGGGCAGGAGGTGTGGTGGTGTGTGGCTCTCCAGGAGGACAATTACACACATAGCTCTGTCTTCAAGGCATTTTGAATGTGCTTGCCAAGTTTATTTCCTGTGGCTACAAGTGTGTTCTTGTCTCTTGCCCTGGATGGAGCCTGTGCAGAGTCACTTTTAGGAACGGATTTAGGGAAGTTGTTACAAAGGAAAAAAGACTAGCCACAGTGCTTTCCAGAAATGCTTGTGCAGACATGGCAGCATCTGGGGTCTCCTGAGTGAGCTCAGTGCCCACAGCCACCTCCAGTGTGTTGAGCAGCAGATGTGCAAGTGAAAAACCTGAAAGTGCTCCAGTAAATGAGAACCCTCGTTTGTCTGTGACATAAGTATGTATAATAATAATAATAATAATAATTTTTTTTGTGGTGCTGGGGTAGAACCCAGGTCTTTTGCATGATAGTCAAGCACTCTAGCACTGAGCGTACGTAGCCTCTTAGCTTTAATTTTTTCCCAGTTTTTTTTTTTTTTTTTAAATAAGCAGGTATACTTAAAAATGTGGGAGGAGGGAAAGGAGTGATTCAGGTAACTTTAGAAGTTGCAGTTATCAAATGGGTGGGTGGATCTAGAGATAGGAACACCTTTCATTTAGAAGCTGGCATTCAGAGAAAACGTTAGGAATGGTTAGAATTTAGTACAGGGAGGTTTGTCTGACATTGTTGGTGTGTCTGTAACTGAAATACCCTTAAGCTGAGTAACAGTGGACAGCCTCAGTCATGGCTTCTGTCCCCATGGTAGAGAGTGCACAGCTGTTTAAAGTCTCTATACACACGAGGGTGTGGGGCATGGCTCCCAGGCCTCACCCTGGATGATAATGCTTGTTGGGCTCACAGATAGCTACCAGGACAGGCAGGTGGCTTGAGCTGTTTGAGTTAATATTTATAGTAAGCCAAATACAAGGAATATGTTACAGTTGATCATTACATAAAAGCCAGGGTAACTCCATCATTTTTGCATATAGTGATTTTGCCTTAAGTGAAAAGAATGAATCATTTCTGCTAGAAATCCTAGAACTGCAGTTATTTTGGGGGAGTCCCACAGTGGGAAGTAGAATGAGGTATAGGTTTCATTCTCTATTTCCTTTATCATATTTGTGTTTTATAAGGAGACGTGCTTTTCTATAAATAGAAAAAATTATAAACCCGTGTTTATTTTAAGAAAAAAAATTTTAGGTATTTTTCCCCTCACTTTGGTGGTGCCCCAGCCCCAGTCTCCTTGTGTGACCCCAGGGGGTGGAGTTATAGGCAGTGCATGAGGTAGGAGTCTGCTGTGAACACTCTGGGCATTGGAATGTCGTTGAGTTTTCAGCCCCTTTGAAATGCTGCATGCTACAATGTGCATTTCCTGTTGCTGGCCAGCATGGTTGTGTGTCCTGCTGTGATGTTGTTCCCATTACCTTCAGCCTCAAACTAGCCTTATTCCCTCTACAGGAAGAACGCCTCAGGCGGGGTGATGACCTCAGATTGCAGATGGCCCTGGAAGAAAGTCGGAGAGACACTGTTAAAGTCCCAAAAAAGAAAGAGGTAAGACTTGCTGGAAGGTATTTGAGGTTGTCCTGTGGTTATTGCCACAAGGCCCCCACATCCTGGGTGAGACACACAATAGGCTCTCCATCCTCAACAAGTAACCTGCAGACCTGTGATGGGCAACAGGGAGACATCCGAACTGAGAGAAGATATCTTGGTGCCTCATCTGTAAAACACAGTAGTGTCTGCCTCCTGTGGTTATGGGAGCCATTGAGTAAGTTAAACGACAGTGCTTTGGACCTTTCCTGGGCTAGGGGAAGCCCTTGGTACTGCTGGTCTTCAGTTCCAGCACCATCATCCTCTGCCAAGCTTTCCGCTTGACATATAGATGACAGGACATGGATTTGCTCCTGACAGGCTGATCATCAGGATGATCATCAGGATGATCCACACACACACAGGGCTCCATAACAGATGTGATCATGGGAGTCAGGGGTGGTTGGCAGCTGGAGTGCCGAGACAGGTGAAGAGGGATAGCATTCTGGGGCAGGGGCTTTGCAGCCTGAGCAAAGGTTGGCATTGTTCTGAAAGAGTTTGGGAGCTCTAAGGACTCTGAAAGCCCATGGGGTGTTTGGCAAGCAGTAAATACCTTGATGTAGGTGGAGGCTGGGCTGCCCTGGGAAGCAGGACAGTGGGGTGAGGGGGAGGAACATGGGACAGGAGATGGGACAGCTCAGTTTCCAAGTCCTTCTGAGCCCCTCCCAGAAGGCCTGTGCTATAGTGAGAGAAGATATTTATGGCTAGTGCATGGGTATTTGCTTGACTATAACAAAGTGAAACTGTCCCTTCTCTTTGTCTTAACAGCTTGGCTCCCACCCACAGCAGACTACCCTGTTGGATTTAATGGATGCCCTCCCTAGCTCAGGACCTGCTGCCCAGAAAGCTGAGCCCTGGGGCCCAGGGACTCCTGCTAACCAGACCAACCCCTGGGGCGGGCCAGCAGCTCCCACAAGCACTTCAGACTCCTGGCCATCGTTTGGTAAAAATCCTGTCATTGGTGTCCTGTGCTTGCCTCTTGAATGTGTGAAGGGGATAGGGCAGGACTCTGCTCTCAACTGGCCATCCATTGAGGTGGGGGGGGCGGGGGTCAAGCCTCATCCGGTCCTCAGCAGTGATGCCCAGCAGGGAGTGATGTCCCTCCTCCTTGGGGACTGAGGCACAGTGCTCTCTTTCTTTCTATTTTGAATGGTTTTCTGCTTTGGTAGAAGGAAAGCTGACTTCCTCTCTGCCCCTCTTATGCATCAGAAATGACTTGTCCCTACAATGGGACACATTTGAGCTCGGAGCATCAGAATCGGCATCCAGTATAAGCAGCCACGATACCCAGTGTGAAACATCTAAGTCAAGTAGTTAGCTGAAATTATGATGTGTTTATCACCACTGCTAATGAAAAGGGAAATCATTTGATGTAATTCTTTTTTTTCATCTTGCTTGGGACTGGGGTTTGAACTGAGGGCTTTGCACTTACAAAGCAGGTGCTCTGCTGTTTGAGCCACACCACCAGTCCATTTTGCTTTGGTTATTTTTGAAGATGGGGGTCTCGTGAACTGTTTACCCAGGCTGGTTTTGAACTGCAATCCTGATCTCAGCCTCTCTAGTAGCTAGGATAATAGGTATGAGCCACTGGCACCTGGCTATTTTCTGTAATTCTTGTTATTTAAAGCAATAGTAAATCAAATTGATAGGGGAAATGAATATTTCTAAGTTTTCTTAATGACAAATGTAAGAGATTTAGAAAAAAAAAAAAACCAAAACACAACAATTGGTTTGCCCTGGGTGATGTTTCTGATATGTAAGTTTCTTAATTGCTGGGCAGAGGGCAAGGCTTTATAAGGGCTTCCTGGCCTGGTGCCCTGGGATCTCCTTCTGGTGCTCTGAACCCTGCTGGCCATGGCTGACCTGTTGGGTTTCTGTCTTGCTTATATCTCTTGGAGTCCCTGTTTCCCCAAATCAGAACCTTCTTTTATGTTCAGTTCAGTTCCCTGGATGTTTGTTAAAGTGTACCAAGTGCCAGGCTCTGTCCTGCCACGTGAGGACCCTGGGACAAACAGGTAATGGTTCTAGCCTTTAGACTCAGGTCAGGTGTGGGCAGGATGGGGACCTAGTACCATAGCGGTGCCCTGTAGCCTAGGCTTTGGTGAGGTTATGTGAGGGCACCTGGGGCAATTAGCCTTGGAGACCATGGGGTATGAGGAGAGCATAGGAAAAGAGTGCTGCTTCAAGTCTTCAGGGAAGAGTAGGCAAGTCAGCTCAAGAGGCATGGTGTTCCCTGCAGAAGATGGCATGTCAAGAAGCAGCAGGGTAACGATGGTGCCGTGGTCCGGGCACAGGGACATGTGTAGTGTGAAGTGGGCAGCAGGGGCTGGAGGGAGTTGAAGGTAGGTTGTCAGGTCACTCAGGGCCTGGCCTCAACCCTGCAAGTGCTTGAACTTGGCCCAGAAGGGTGTCAGCCCCAGGTGCCCTTTGATTTCAGTGGCCCTGTGGAGCCCCACCTCCCTTTGGCAGGCAGAATTGTCCATAGTTCTCACTCACTGAAAACTGGTTCCAAGGCTACTCCCAGGTTGGACCTCAGAAAGCCTGTACTGGTTGTGGTCTTGCTGAGCACGTACAGGTTCAGCGTGTGAGGTATGTTGGCTGGAGACACTGCACACGTGGTACCTAGGGACAGCAGGCTTCCAGGCAGTGGTTTTGACTTCGGTTTCAAGTCTGAAACATGACTCCTCTGTCAAGCTATGGCTACATTAAGCTATGCATCAGGTGTTCTTAGGAAACTCAGTCCCTGTCAGAGCTGTGTGATAGGACACTGAGTGAAAGTGTGATCAACCAAAGTCAGGCAGGCTCAGGAAGGCTGTGTCTGTCAAGTCTGTGCTGTGTTCTGGGCCGAGTGGGGGCCGAGGGTGGGAGGGATTCAGCTTCCATGCCTCACCATTTCCCACTGCCTGACTTGTGTGTGAGTGGAGTGTCACCTGTCAGAAAAGACAAATGGCAGTTTTACATGACCAAGTTCTGCCCATTCCTTCCATTGGCTGGTGGACAAGGCTTTGTCCTGGGCTGAACCCTCAAGGTCCAGCAGGGAAGTCTCCCTGGTGGGTGGGGACAGTGCCACCTCCAGAGGCTGGAGCCAGCACACCTGTAGGCTGAGGGATGGGCTGCTGTGGAGAGATACTGGGCATCCTATAGGGTGTGCCAGGGCCTGAACTGTTAGTCTTTAAAGAACTGGAGATCAATTCATCATTCTAACCATTTTATTTGAAGTGGAAAATCCATTGGTTTTAGTGCATTCACAGTGCTGTGCAACTACCACTATTACCTAATTCCAGAACATTCTTACCACGCCAGACAGAACCCATACTTGGCAACTGCAAACCTGCCTTCTGTCCCTTGGGATTTGCATATTCTGGACTTTTTTTTTTTATTTTTGCAGCACTGGGGTTTGAACACAGGACTGTACACTTGTAGGCAGGCGTTCTTACTGCCTGAGCCACACCACCAGCCTTTTTTTTTTTTGTGAAGGGTTTTTTCGAGATAGGTTCTCATGAACTGTTTGCCCAGGCCTGGCTTTGAACTGCAATCCTCCTAATCTCTGCTTCCTGAGTTGCTAGAATTACAGGCGTGAGCCACCGGCACCCAACTTGGATATTTCATGTGAATACAGTCCAACAGTATATGGTTTTCTGGGTGTTAAGCATGCTTTTGAGGTTTGTCCCTGTTGTAGTGTGTGTCATTCCTTTATTCCTTTTTGTAGCTGAATAATATTCCATTTTATGAATATAGCATATTTTGTTTAGCCACTGATGGACAACTGGGCTATTTCTGCTTTCTGGTTGTTGTAAACGCAGTTTTTTAAACAAAAAGTTTTTCATAGAAAACATTAAAACTTGAAATCTATTAATATTTAAATGTTAGCAAGGATTTTAAGAAATTAAGACCATGGGGGCTGGCAGAGTGACTCAAGTGATAGAGCACCTGCCTAACAAGCACAAGGCCCTGAGTTCAAGCCTCAGTACCGAAGGAAAAAAAAAAAAAAAACTATGAGCTGAGTGCTGGTGGCTCACCTGTCATTCTAGCTACTTGGGAGGCTGAGATCAGGAGGATCATAGTTCGAGGCTAGTCTGGCAAATAGTTCACAAGACCCCCATCTCCAAAATAATCAGACCAAAATGGACTAGAGGTGTGGCTTGAGTGGTATAGCACCTGCTTTGCCAGTTGTGACACCCTGAATTCAAACCCTAGTCCATCAAAAAAGTTTTCTTAAATAAAGAGTGCAATTGGGGTTCATCAAGATCTGAGGATGGTTACGTGTGGCTTTTGTCCACCAATTTGCTACTTCTTGCCACTTGCCCACTCAGGGCCTCTTCGTTCTGATAATTTTGGCATTTTAACCAGTAACATGAGGAAAAAACAGTCCACCAAAGCCCATAGAGTTTGTTTATTCCTTTGGGGTCACCCAGACAGTTAGAGACAGGCCCAATGCTTATGGTACTACATTGTGGATTGCCACAAATTTCTTCTGTGGCTCTGGAAAGTCCTAAAAAGCCTCGGATTCCAGCACCAATTAGCCATTGTTAAAATGGGAGCTCTTCAGCGTCCTGATTTTTTTCTGACATTATCTTTTTACTTAGCTGAGGCCACATTGTGTATATAATTTTACATGTACATACACGTACTACCAACTTGTGCTGTCACGAGCACTTCTAGACATCATCAGAAACTAAAAAACTTGGTGCTAGAGGGACGTTTTGTGGCTGTGCCATCAGCTCAGTGTTGTACACAGAGGTGGTCTTGCAGCCCCAGATCTCTGCTGGCATCGCGGTGTTGTGGGTAACCCGGTGCATGGTCTGACCACTGCAGGAGACACACACCCCATACCACCCCAGCCTGTTTGCTTCTTAGCAAATGCTTTGCTTCTTGTATCACTGAGTGGTGTGTTGGGTTTACTGCTCAGCTTCTGGCAAAACCCAGCACTGCATTTACAGGGCCACTCCTGTGTCCCAAAATGTGCTCATAAATTATAAAGGTTAGAGCCTCTTCCCATGCACTATGACTTGTACCCTCCAGAAGAGAGAGACTCTTCTTTGAAAGCCACCATTTGTTGTGGACTTGTCATTACTAGTTCCTTCCAGTAGCATTAGGGGCTGCTGGGCCAAGTGGCCTTGGGAGGAAATGCTAAGGGCTGAGAGGAAGGAAATCAGAGACTGCCAGGTCAGCGGGGCACTTCCTGCTCTATTCCAGACACACAAAGCGGCCACCTGGTCCTCAGAGGCCATACAGCCTGACAATTGAGAAGGCCTTGGCCAGCTTTCCTCCTTAACTGTGCATCCGCCCACCACAGGCCAGGATGGGGTCTGTCTCCCACCGCCTGACAGCAGCAGGTGTGTTGCTGGCTTCTCCATGACCCCTTCATGGCTGTGCACATGAATATTCATCTAGATGTGCTCTGGGCTGGTGGGACTCACACTCCCTCTGAATGGCCCTATAGCGGAGGAGGCCGGAAGCTGCTCGTCCTTCCAAGCTTGATTCCACCCTCCTTTCCTCTTCCTCAAGCTTTCAACAAGTGTTTATTTATTGGGTGTGTGGCATGGCTGGACCCTCTGAGGGCACAGAGGAGCCTTGCAGCGTCTCTACCACCATTCATGGAGGAGACTCCCATGCCTGCAGTGGTCCCTGAGGGCATCTGGGGCCTGGTCTGTGCCTGGCACTTTCCCACAGAGGGAGGAGGGGTGCTGTCTGTTTCCATAGCATGTTGGAAGAAAGCTGTGCTGGTCATAGGACTGTTTACCCGTGTCTGTGGAGGTTTGCTCATTTGGCACAAATCTAAACTCAGCCCAGCAACTTGCAGAACCCCAGATATACCTAGGTCCCTGATGTCACTTGCAGAATACAAAGCTGACGAAGCTCACCCAGGCTAAGCAGCCTGTCCAGTGAACTATGTGAACTGAGTACATATTTCATTCCTTGTCCAGAGCTCGCTGAGCTGTG